AAAAATGTTTTCTATTATTAGTTTATTTTATAAATATAATTTCACTTATACTAATAAAAAATTAATATATAAATGAAATTTAGACTAGATTATTTATATATTTTACATATTTTAAGTATATTTGTCTATTTAAATTATTTTTTTATAAAACCAAAATTTTTCTCTTTATTTTTTTTTTTTGGTTTGCTGTCTCATTCACCTATCCTTAGATGGGACCGATCAAGCTATCCGGTCCACTTTTAATTGATAAAGTCTTGGTCAATCATAGTACAAAATATGGCACATGTTGTTGGATATTAAAGGTGATATGCGTATGTAAAAAAAAAAAAATGAAAGAACTCTCTCGCTAAGATCTTGAAATCGAATCCAAAGAAAGTTGGTAATCTTTGTCATAATTCCCCATCTAGATTATACTCATTTTTGTTTCTGAACTCTATTTCACTTTAACTATGTTGATTTTTGGTTGACTAGAATGATGGATGCGATTGATTTTGAGGCGATGCTGAATGGGGCAGAGGCACCTGTAACTGCGGAGTGTTGCATCTACAGAGTGCCCTTTCCTATTCGCAAACACAAAGAAGATGCTTACACTCCAAATGTTGTTTCTATTGGCCCTTTTCACCACAATCTCCATCCTCACCTCCTTAACATGGAAAGACACAAACTCAGTTATTGTAAGGCCTTTCTTCAGCGAACCAACACAACTTGGGATTGTTGGATCTGCTACATAAAAGAAGAGGTGGAGCCCCATTTTCATCGTTTTTATTCAGACACCCTTGAATTCAGTAAAGAGGAACTGGTGAGGATCATATTTGTGGATTCCAGTTTTATACTTGAGCTCTTTTGTAGATACCATGCTCAAGAATGGTCAAGGGAGGACGTGTGTCTTTCAACACCTTGGTTGAAGTGTTATATAAGAGTAGATTTGTTGTTACTTGAGAACCAGCTTCCTTTTTCTATTCTTCAGGCTCTGTTTAATAAGTTCTTCACCACCAGGTCTAATTATAATATCCCTTCATTTCTTGAGCTTTCGTTTAAATATTTTGAAAATTTCAATAGATCCAACTTGAGTTTTGATAATATTAGCATAAAGCACTTTACCGATCTCGTAAGAACTTTTCACTTACAACATCCTCTTCAAATACGACCATCTAGGATTGAACAAGTGTTGATACAACAACTTCCTAGTCTGACTGAGTTGTGTGAAGCAGGAGTGAGAATTAAGGTTAAGAGTGAAAATAAGTGTTTACTAGACTTGACATTTTCAGGAGGGGTTCTCAGAATTCCAGAGTTGATAGTGGATGACTGGACTGAATTTTTGTTTAGAAATATGGTGGTTTTGGAACAGTGTCACTATCCATATGAATCCTACATTATTGACTATGTTGAGATTATGGAGTTCCTTATAAATACGAAGGAAGATGTGGATAAATTGATTCAAAAGAAAGTACTGATTAACTGGTTAGAAGATGTTGATTCTGTGGCTATCATGTTTAATGGTTTTGGCAAAAATGTTACGCTATCAGATAGAAATTCTTATTACAATCAAATCTTCAAAGAGTTGAATGATTTTTATGGAAACCCTTGTAATATTTTGAAGTCGACTCTGAGGCGTGATTATTGTAAAACTCCTTGGCAAGCTGCAGTTTCATTTGCTGGAATTATTCTCCTTGTTTTGGCTTTGGTTCAAACAGTTTTTTCTATCTTGCAAGTAATGCACCAATAGAATGCCTCCCCACCCAGAAAGATTCGGTAAAGTTGTTTTATTATTATTTTCAATTTCTACTAACATCTTTGTACTATTTATTGAGAAGAAGGGAATGAGATAAGCATCAAAGGCCAACTTTTCTGACATTTTCATCCGAAACGTGAATACAAACACACCATAAGATATATATGGTAGTTGGATTACTACAATTTGTCATTCTGACATATCAATCAGTCGGTGATCCTTCAAGGGGACCATTACATGATACACAAGTGTTAAAGTATGTAGAATGGAAATTTAAAGATGCAACCACCATTACCAAGTATAAGGCATCAAAGTTAACTCCCTCATTCCTTAATGCTTGATTTAAGCCTAATTATTTCTTATCATTTTCTCGAATTTGTAAGAGACATGCACCAGCATTTGCAGGGTCCCATATTTTACTAGTTTGGAATGTTGAGTGTTTGCTTGTTGTCGAACTTTTCATCCTAACAACAACGGGGAGGTTTATTAGAAATTAGAATACTAACCCAAGTCCAAAGATGAACGGCCTAGTTGGACACAACGCCATTTTAACAAAAATAAAAAAGGAATCCAATTAGTATCAAAGAACTATGAATTGGATTGACTTGTTAAGAATAATTCACTTGTTGGGGTTGGGGTACAATGTGATTTATATTCGTATGCTGACAAAACTAACTGTACAAAAGGAAAAGACAAACAAATTTGTTTGAAAGAAAAACTAAAGGTGAACAGTTGAAGACGGGTACAATAAGAATGATTGTGGCTTCCCCTCCCCGATACGTGTTTGACTCATCACAATTAGAAAAAAAATGCAACCCCGCCAAACTCTCTCATTTTAAGGCCTACCAACCAATTACCCTGAGCCTCGTGTGATCATCCCACCAGCATACCTCGTTCTTCGAAATTGTTCATACTCCGTTACTTTCCCTCTTTCCAACTCTTAAAATGAAGGCATCCACCCCACTCGGCAACAATGTCTCCGTCAATACATTTGTCATGTCACTGTATCTTGCTTGTCATTACAGTCTATTGTTCCTCTAGTGGAGTGACATGAAATTTACAACAGTGAAAAAGGCTCTTAGTGACTCCTCCAAAATCCTGTCCGAGAAACAAACCAAGTCAGTGGTACAGCAAAATATTCCACATCTAGGATAATAAGTGTTGTGATAGTAAAGTACAGCAATCACTAAGGAAAGCCGAGAGCCTGATAAAGTTATATAGCAGAGTTCAACTTCATATTCTAGATGAATGATTTTCTTACTATTTGGATGAAGAAATTCGGCGCAGTGAAGGAATCCAGCTGCTTGAAACACGGGAATTACTCCCAAATACACGACTAAAGTTTGAGGTTCCTATGTGCCTTTCTGGTTTTGAGACATTTTCTGTAGATGATTTGAGCATGGTAGAGGAAGTAGATGGACTATTGTTCACACCCTGCAAAAATTTCATCTCAATCAAATGAACTTCTTGAGTCAAACAAAATTCAAATTAAAGATCAATATAATTGAACAAACTACTCTAACATGCAGAAAGTAGCAAGGCCAACATATGTTAGTAACTCGTAGAGGTATAGTTATCATTTTCATAAAAAAGAGGGAATAAAGGCCAACAAGCCAGTGGCAGAAATTTCATTGAGGAAACTAACATGTTTCTCGGTCTGATTCTTGGCATTCAGATTCCGGACATTAGATGGCTTAATTTGCACACGTGCACTTGGACATTCAAGATTGGCTAACATTTTTGTTACAGTAACATGAGCTGAATCCTTGACTCCTGAAAAGGGAATGTAAAGCATGGGCATGAGAATGTGATCTATAGAGAGCCTTTTACTTCGCTGTACTACAAACTTGCAAGGCTATATCAGTTCAACACGACTACAGCAAGGAAAATCTCCTTATCATAAGGAAAGGATGACGATAATAATAATGATAATAATAGAATCATATAATTGGGAAATATCTATCCATATTGAATATTGACCACTATCTAGGCATTTCAGAAGCTATTATGTTTTGCTTTCCAAGACAACAAAGTTCCATGAAAAATAACTAAGCACCAATTACTTATTTCTTTTAATTTTAATTTTCCCATTAATGTAACTTTAAACTTCAACTCAATCTACAAGAACATATAAATCTCAGCATGCAAATCATAAACTTAGTAGAATACTGATTGGGAGAAAGTTCTCTAGTAAAACATAATTTCATAAACCACATGATACAAGATTGAAGTTACCTTTATGCTTTTCCACAACTACTGGTTCTAGACTGCTAGGCACCGCAGCTGAAGGCTGCAAATTGTCACAACATCCTCAGATAAGAGAACAAAATCAGGAAAGTTTAATGCAAAAGCTATCTTATAACTTGACACATTCCAGTAAATGCAAGCCAGACCGTACTTAATATACATAAGGAGCATATCAAATGATAACTCTTCTAGTGAGAGATGAGAATTATAAATATAGACTATTAAATCACATTTGAATGGTCAAGATTAAAAGAAAAATGCACATGACTTTTTAAAGTAGTCATGTGTCTATTAACTTTTAATTTTAATCATTCATTTATGGTTGTATGACTCGGATTTATAGTTCACATTTCTGATTTCTCACAATAATAAGAGTTCTTACTAGATATGCTATATATATATATAGAGAGAGAGAGAGAGAGAGAAGAGTTTATACCAATTCCTATGGTTTTGACTTCTATGTGGTCATAGTTCCCGGTCAATCTCCATGTGACAATCAAAATTTTCAGTTTACAAAAAATAGTTAATATGATTCAATTGTGTCACATAAAAATCAACCGGAACCATGTAATAATTTCTCAAAGGAGGGGGGATACATCATGGCAAGCAATTTATTCAAAATTACTATTAAAATAGTCCAACGAAGTACTAACAGATGATTGATTTTGTTTCCTTGACTGTTGTGCCTGCTGATATTTTAGGATGGTCCAGTCAAATATATAATCGGAATCATATCCTGCTCATTAAATTCAGCCAAACAAAAATTTTGTTATATACCAAACGAGACAAGCAGAAACATTATAAATGAAACTTTAAACCCAGATTGGTAATGCATGATACACCTAAAATTATTTAATCCCAACCAGCAAAAAACATTAAAAATTAAATGAAATAGTTCATAAAATTCGCACAGCCTGAAAACTTGAACCCATGCTTTTGGAGGAAGAATAAAGGATGAAAACAATAAACCATAAAACTAGATAAATGGCTTTGTACAGAAGTTGGACTTATCTCAAACCTATAGCATATTCTATGAAAAATAATTCTATGCCAAAATAAAGATACTGCGGCACAAAATGTAGCATAACTAGAAGAAAGAGGAAGAAATGTTCAAATACTTGGTAGCATTCATTTAAAATATCATACTTCATTTGATATCTAAAGCAATCAACCAATATGAGAATTGCCATCTTTAAGAAACAATGAGCTATATTTCCAACTAGTAGAGAAAGTATTTGAAATCAAGAATTTGATAAAAACGAACAGCAAATACCTTCTCTTTTGAACAAATCACGAAACAAGTTCCTCAAGAATCCATAATCTGGTTGTTGATCGAATGTCAAAGATCGGCAATAATGAAAGTAGGAAGCGAACTCCACAGGATACGACTTACAAAGCATCTAATAACAAGAAATCTGAAATCAGTAAACATACAAATGACAAAAAACTTGAATAAGAAAATCCACAAGAATTAACATTTGATTAATCCAATAATAGCAATCCTTAAAAGCTCTTATTTTAATTGTTTAGCCAAGGATTCAAGTGTTCAAAGTTTAAGGATTGACATTGTTTCTTCATGTTTTTCATAACTCTGATTTTCATTTCCTACTCTATTTGGCAACACTTTGGCCTTTCCTCCCCCAGGCTCCCACTCTTAAAAAAATAGAAAACGGCAGGGGGGACTACCATATCCAAAATCTATTCCGCTTTTTAACGTAAGTCACAGTATGAGAGGGTCAGCGTAAAAGAAAATTGAAAACTTTATTGGGGCAGGGAGTTCAACTGTTTTATGAAATTGAAAATTTTACATACCTCAATGGGAGTCGATAATTTCTTCTCACAAATATTGTCATATTTTTCCTTTTTGGTGGCAGCTTTCAGACCCTGCCAAGGAAGGCTGAAATGCAAGAATCAGATAGTCAAGCCGTATATTTACCTGAAAAAACTGTGCTATTGATACTTTACATGCACCAGTTTGTTTTTCATATGCATGGAAAGTTACAATGAATAAGAAGAAACTTACCTTCCTCTTAAAAAATACATAAGAACAAAGCCTAGAGACTCCAAATCATCACGACGACTTTGCTCTGAAAAAATAAAATCCAATTTGTGGGCAATTTATAGGTCATATAAGCTGTAGTTAGTTATAGAGGGAAAAATTCTTTCTGCTCACCAATGCCCATGTGAGTGTTGCAACTCGCATATCTTGCAGTTCCTGTTAAGCTTTTATTCTCTCTGGATGAGTTCATCAAGATTAAAACAAATATCAGGCAGTGATATAATTAAACTAAAACTGGTAAAGCACAATCAACAGTGAGAATGAGTCAATCAGAAGAATTCAAAAAAAGAATTATTTGAGATTCCACAGATCACAAGCTGGAAAGCTTCCCATTGCTAAACAACAATGTACTTTTACTCTAGAAAACAAAAAATTATCTGTTTTAGTAAAATACACTGCAAGAATGGTGGTATAGGCAACAGTTCTACCAGTTATAAAAAAAGATCTTGGTGATTACAAGATTTTAACTATAAAAAATTTGAACAAAGAATATTTTGTTACATGTATTCAATAATGAACACCCACAGAATTTATCTTCTGTTCTTTTTTTTTTCCTTGGTATTTCAATTACATGTCAAGCCCACCATGACATAAAAAAATAAAAAAAGATTTCATTCAGTCCCACCTCTAAAACTTTTGTAAACATTAAAAACAAACAAACAAATAAGAAAAATTGTACTACTTCAGTTAACGCATTATCATAACTAATATGTATACTAAAAATCAAAAGGAAAGCATCTTGGGAGTTGAAAAAGCAATCAAATACATTTGTGACACTAGAAACCTTATAACACAGGACACTACCAGACTGGGAAAAACATTGATTCATAACATGAAGAGATAAAAAATATAAAATAAAACTAAACATGCCTGTAAGGAATATGCTTGTTTGTGTTAGGGTCCCTATATCTTTTTGCTAGTCCGAAATCAATAGCATAAACCTGTAAATTTAAAAAATTGCAGAAAACACATGAGAAGTTGTAAGCATAAAAGGAATTATCAGAGAGGAAAAATTTCCACCTAAGTTAGCCATTAAATAGAAGGACTATTGATGACGTTACCTGACTTGATCTCCTCCCAAGACCCATAAGGAAGTTATCTGGTTTGATATCTCTATGCAAAAATCCCTTGGAATGCAAGTACTCTACTCTTGTCAGCTGCATTCAAGTTAATAAAATCGACAATTTTCTATTAATGCACTTTCATTGAAAACTCCCAAGATGCAAGAGCATTAACTAAAAGATGTAAAAAATTTAAAAACAAAACTGCTACAGTAAATTGCAGGGAACATAACAATATCCAGAAGGCAAGTTAGAAATCAATAAGGATTAAGGAACAAATGCCGCTTCCTTGGAAACTTAAGCAAGCAATCCTCTGACATGAATAAGTGGTTACCATCTGATCAGCCAACATCAAAACTGTTTTTAATGAAAACTTCCGCCCACAGTAGACAAAAAAGTCTTCAAGACTCCGTCCCAAAAGATCAATTACTAGAACATTATTGTCTCCATCAGTACCACACCACTTCATACTTGGAATACCACCTAAAATCCAAAGACCAAGAAAAAGAAAACAATGAACATTACTCTCACAAATGTTCTGAGAGCATTTAACTTACTGAGGTTCTTTTGTAACTTACTTTCTCCTTGAAGAATACTATATAACTTTGCTTCATACAATAGTTGTGGATGTTTGGTCTTCTTGCTCTCCTACAAAATCAGAATCCGGAACCATAAATCACAGCTTCACCATACGTATAATTCTCGAATAATTGAAATATGAAGGCATGCCAAAAGAAGGGCAAAAAACAAGTGCACACATCTAACAAGTAAAATTCTCCATTAAAATTTGACTCAAGATTCTATTCATTTACGCACCACAAACTCTGCCTATTCCAACACTATCCCTAACCCCATGTGATCAAGTGCATATATCCCACAACTGCATAATGTTATATGGAGAGAAATCACCTTTTACTGAAATCTACATAACATCCCAAATAGAAGCAACATAGCATGCGCATGCAGGAGAAGCACACGTGAAAAATAAAAATGAGATTAAAATAATAAAATTAAGAACCTATTCCATTAATATATATATATATATATATATATATATATATATATATATATTAATATAAAAGATAACTTTTTTATACTACTAAGTACTGTTTATATTGTTAATGTGTTTAAGAATGGAATACTTTTTGATAATGAAAAAAATTCGGTCTTAATTTAATTATTAATTTTAAGAT